CCTACACTGGAATCAAACTGCATCATTTGATTAAGGGTCAAACAACAACCTTGGAAAGAAGAGTTTTCCAGTGCAACATGCAGAATTGACCGTCATTGGGAATGGCAACATAGCAATGTATTTGTTGGGTGCCTGGTGTGTCTAACTCAATGATCATGATTACATTACCTTTGGGTAAAAAAATGAAAAAAAAACCCTAGCAATAAATGGGGAATTTTCCATTCAAGTAAGGTAGAGAGCTATTATTATGTTATTGCATACGTCGCTTAACAAAGTTGATCTACGCAGAGGAGCAACAACGAAACACACTTGTAATGAAAATGTTACCTCAGATCTCGGTCTTCTTCACCATGTGCATCTAGATAAACAGAACCCCAAAGGCAGAAACGATGGCCTCGTATAATGATGATTACAGATGCATTAATCAAAAGAAATATTCCTGTCCCAGCTCCACAGTTTTGAGAATGCTGTAATATTAAGGGAGTAGAAAGGGACGAGTGCAAATATTCTGTTAGTGTCTGTCAACTTTGTAGCAGAAAGGTCTTTAAAAATAGTAATTAGTTTTGCTTGAAACAGCATACACACATTATTTACTGAGAAACAGTTTGACAAAGTATAGCCTGCTCCAAAATCCCCCAAGCAACTGAGAACCCTGTTTTGTGCTACCATAACACTTGCATACAAAAACGGTTCACTGCTCAAAGAGGAAGGATATTCTTTATGATGTAAAACCTCAATTACCTAAAGAAAAAGAGGAAAAATATTCTCTACAATATTTTGAATTTTTTGTTGTATAGCAAACTGTATAGAATGACCAAATATTTTTCATAGATGGCAAGAATATGAGAAACTGTTCAGAAAAGCTTAATATTACCTCTTTTACAATAGTCTCTGTTGCTAAACATTTGCTTTCTCTATCCATGCTCACAGATCCAACCCATGGCTCTACAAATCTAGTAAAATTTTTCTTTTTAGTAATTCTTGCTTGCTTCAATATGTCATTCATCTCTATGAATGGCATGATCTGTATTAATAAATTAATTTTAGCAATTAAAAAATATCCTCTTCCTATGTAGTTTTATTACAATTAGAGGCTATAATCTCATTAATGACAATCAAAAGTAATTCATTATATAGATTTTTATTTCTTTTAAAAATAATCTTCTGTTTTCATGAAGCTTCACACCTTAAATATAACTTAAATTCTATTTTAAATATCGCCAACTATCTTTCTCCCACCATATTAGCAGTACAAGAGAGAAAGGGAGTTCAAACAATTTCAAAAATCCCTGTGAAATTTCTTTGGGTGTGATTTTATGCCCCATTTGTAATTATCTCCCCAGTAAATCTTCCCCTTACTTTTGTAAAGCCCACATAGTTCAAGCCCTTTTACTAAAACTATTCTGTGGTAAGAAACACAACAGCAGTCAAAGCAAACCTTTATCACAGACAGGAAAACAATACTAGATGCTGTCCAACTCAGGTTCCTGAAAGAACTTATTATGTATGCTGACTAGAAAAATTTGCTGCTGAATTAGTTGAAGGCCTTGAAATTTATTATAATCTAGCTGTAGTCTGTAGATCACTAGTAGATGGTCAGATATATCAGTATTCTATAAAAGGAAAAAGAAAACCTATACACTGATATTCTTATGTATGCAGAAAGTAAGGAAACAAAACATAGTAAAATTAAAACAATACATGATCAGAATGTAGACAAATTTAATTGGTTATGAATCAAAGCCATGTTTCAACATTACACACAATGGCTTTGTAAGTGTGTTTCAAACAGATTAAGTAGGCTATAGGCTTAAAAAGGTGAATAATATTGCTCTCTAGAATCCAGTCTAGGTCTGTCAGAAATAAGAACTAAACATTATTATTGGTGGGTTGAACTAGATGACCTTTAAAGGTTCCTTCCAACCCAAACTATTCTATGAGTATATAAAGATGTTTTGGAAAGAAAACCACCAAAAGCGAGCAATGGAGTTAAAAAATATCCATGATTTATGAGAAGCAATTACAGAATTTGAATTGTCTCTCTTACCAGCACACATTCACAGTAACTCTGTTGTTTGCAGCATAGTCCTTTCAAGCATACAAAAGTACCACAAACTAGACAAACAGCAGGATCTTTAGGAACCTTGGTACAAACAGTACAAGTCTTTCTGTGATAATACTGAAAAATGGTATTATAATTCTCCGGCAACTGAAGGAGCCGTGGCAAGTCCCACTTAGGTTCCTGGATAAGCAAAGCCTACAAATAAGATAAAAACAATCTATCAGTTCTGCACATTCATTTATGCTTTTATGTTTTCTAAGAGAAGAGAATACCAAAGAAAGCAAGCACGTAGTTTAAAAATCTCTCACTTCTGCATTTCACAAATTTAGAAGTCAAAAGTCACCTTGCAACAGTCACCCGCCTCTAGCTGAACACCCTTCCCAGCTGTGGTCACATTTCACCTTTTTTAACAGGTGTAAAATGGACACTAGCCTTTTCCCAAGGACATTTTCTAAATCTGAAGCTTTAAGCGCAAAAATCTCCATAGCTAAAACAAGAGGATTAAGAGTGATCTACTGGGAAGACCCACACTCGATACACCAACGTATCACACTGGTGCCAAACCCTTGCACTGACTATGAAAGCTGTCTCCTTCCTACAATTCAGATGAAAACGTTCAAAAACAGAACTGAAGTTAGGCTCTGATATTTGAAGCCATTTGCCTGATTTTCAGCATTATGCTGCGCACACAAATTTTGAGGCCATTAAGAACTTACCAGCAGTAATAAAAGTTTGATAAGGCAGGCACTAATTAAATACTATTTCCAAAGCATAATTCTTCTATTTGGCTCTTAAAATGCCTTTTTTTTTTTTTTTCTTTCAGTCGATGGGCACAGGGGTCAGAAGAGTGTATGACCTCAAAAGTTAACTTGCCAAAACAAAAAAAATAAAAAGGAAAATTGCACTAGTACCTGGTTCGCTTTCAATCATTGAAAGAATGTTTTTAGTTTCACTGCAGTCTCTCTCAAATGCCTATCAAACTGGCTGCAACTGTATTTTGAGATTAATCTGAGGATTCAAGTTTTCATTCACAATAGCCTAATTCATGCCTGCAAACACGCAAAGGCATGTGGAGATCATGCTGCAGAGTGAAGGATACATCCATCTTCCCTTTAAAACCATAAAAAGTCAGGGACTCGATTTTCATAAAAACAGTGCAGTTAATGTTGAATCATTTCCATCTCACAAGTGATACTCCAACTGCACCAATTCAAGTCTTGGTATTGTTTCTTTAACCTTCAGAGACTAGGCACCATCTTTTATCAGTCAGCTATTAAACAGCTTTTATCCTTTTGATCTTTTTACATATTGCAACTGAAGATGCTCAGAAATCTCAATGATGTCTAACGGGCAAGAAAAACTTCTGAAAAGTATTTACTTAAAACAAAGTTTCTAACACGTATCCTTGATAGGTTTCAAGTGCAGGAGATATCATCTAAGTGTAGTGTTCCTATTTTGTCTCCAGCAGTCATATAATAACTTATTCCTATTTTTAACCAGTCCAACCCACATCCACTAAGTAATATTTCTGATTACAATTCCTCTCTCATTTATGAGTCAGGTTCTCAGCTCTTTATGCAAAACAATAGTGAATGTGCATAGTGAATCAAGCAATAAACAGCTGTTTCTATATAAGGACTGTTTTGGAAGAAGTAATTTCGCTACATACCTTTACTTGATCTGGATGTTTCTCTGCAAACGAAGCCAATTCTGAGCACCACTGTGATATCATGTCAAATGCTGGCACTGGCCAATCAAGACAAGAGGCACTGGTGAACTGATGAGCCGACTGAAAAGATGGTAATAGACCCAGGCAACTTGCAAGAACTGTGAATTCTTCATCTTCCTTTTAGGTGTGAAACCAAAGAGGCTTAGATTAATACCCACACCCTGAATTTTTCAATAGATGATTAAAAATTTATCTATTCCAAGAAAAATACAAAGATTAAACTACTAAAAGAGAAGTAAAAACTATAGTACAATGATGCTAATAGTCATGCTCAGCGAAACAGAAAAGCTTCCATTTTTTCCAGATGATCTCAAAATGGGTTCTCAAAATACAAGAAAACTGGTCTGGAAAAAACCATAACCACCCATGATGCCACAAATAAAAACATATAAAAACCCACAAAAAAAAAAAAAAAAAAGAAACCCCAAAATTCCCCAGTAATTTTCTTCCTGTTTAGCACCCCAAACTGGCTCCTAGCTGTTTTAGAGATTATATGATTTTGAGGCAATAAAACAAAGGAGCTGACCTGCAGCAAACTCTTCTTAAATCAGTGGTGGAACCTAAACGTAACTGTCCACTGATGTAATGCCTCTGAGAATAAAGTCCGAGTATTAACAGGCGAAATTAATATTATGAAAACTAAGGATTGAATTCCAGTCTGTGTGGAAATTATACCATTTCTGCAAATATCCAACCAAGTTTTATAAATCTTATTTTATAAGACATGCATATATGACCTGACAAAATAAGCAGGTATTTGCTGAATTTTAAGAACATAGTATAATTTTTTAGGGAAATGCCTTGAAATTGAATTTATAGAAGACAAAAAATGCTGCAGAGCAATGCTATAAAATAAGATTTAAAAAAGCCCTTAGACTAGAAAATACATACTATGAAAAAGACACTTTCATAGAATCATAGAATCCT